CGATTAATATTAGTGGTAACTAGCATTTACACACGTTAGGGGAACATGCAATCTAATTTAAATAACCCTCTTATTGTGTTATTAATTCGGGTTAGGCTTTTCTAATTCTTAATACAATTGAAAAATTAAATTCTACGGTCGTACTTAGAGTTATTTCATAATTAGGGGTGATCAATGGTCGTACTTTGATTACCAATAAACTAATGAAAAATTGGTCTTCAGAGCTTATTAACAATTATAACTGACCTGTTAATTAATTGAGCAAACCATCTTTGCATCAATGATCGGATGAATGAACTATGTCTGAGAGGTTGTATCTTTGGCTAGAGTTTGTTTGCCATCGATTTAATTCCTACTTACTTTCGTGAATTATTTTATTAACTGGTTATGTATTTATTTTTGTTTGAGTTATTTAATTATCCCCAATTTTATAAAAATCTCCCTTACTTTGTACTCTAAAAGAAATAAATTATCCCCAATCCCTGTAGATTCGACCATACTCACTGTTACAGACAAATATATATTTTTATTAAATAGGAATTTATTATTGTACAGGCTCGACATCTGTCAATTTCAGAATATATGATTTAAGAAAAGAAGAAGTTAGAAGATTAACCTGGACAATGCAAAATTTTAGTTAGTTTCCAAATATTTTGCCCTTCTGCAATCAAGAAATTAAACTCCACCAAGTTCAGTGGGCCGAATCAATTTGGACTTCATCGACTTAGTTGTCTATAACACAACTTGCTCTGGATCTTTCACAGTGGTATCCACTTGAATCCTCAGTGATTAATTCAGCAAGTTTTTGACAGAATAGTTTGTAATAAAGTGTAAAATGATAGCAAAAGCAAAACAAATTTCAACCGACCATGACAAGAACCAGGCTAGTAATAAGCACTATACACTTCTAATGACATCAATAATCTCAACCACCGGTAGTGAAAGCTAAAGAAACACATAAAAATGATAATCCAACAATGAAGTTTATTTTCCACAAAATACATGATAGAAATAGATAGGATGTGAAACTAGAAAAAGCGAAACACAAACTACAATTCTATGGCAATTAAAAAAGATGGAAGGCTGGGAGGATCTGGAATATCAACAGTTCCTTCGAGCATCAGAAGAACTTTCTTCATGGATGGACGAAGAGCTGGCTCATCCTGGACGCACCAGAGAGCTATCTTGACCATTCTTTCCAGTTCTCTCACGTCATCAACCTCCTGATCACCAACCAATTTATATAGCTCTCCAGCCTCAAAACACTGATAAGCCCATTCTTCAAGAATTGCTTCACTCTCGGGACTCGTACAGTCTACGCTTTTTCGTACCGTCTCCATTAGTTCCAGATGACCAGTAAGAATTTTCCGCTACATCTGTTGTGCCCACAGGGTACTGTACAAGGTGTCCATCCGTTTGCATCTTCAGACGAAAAATCCCCTTCGAATCATCAGTTTCTGAAGCACTGGATATGAGCTCCTGATCAGCTGCCAATCGCTGACCAGGCAACAAACTATTGGTTGGATGCTCGAAACTCTGCCAAATGATTCTCTTAACAGAATCGTATAAAACAAAATTTCCAGAATCCAACATAGAAGCTGATGAAATAGGTTCAGAAGGATCAACAACAGTTATGTCTTGGCCTTCTGGCTGTTGCAAAATTAGCCTGCCATCCGTAGATAAAATCAGTGAAACGTTGCTCGAAAAGATGGGGCTGTCCCTGTTGGCAGTCCAAACAGCAGTTTTTTGGGGAATTCCAGCAAGAAAGATCCCAACCGCGTAGCCATTGCGTTGCTGATAGAATCCAAGGGCAAATATCCCAGATGGCGACAACCATGATGATGAGTTGCCTGTGGGGGTTAAAGAAGAACCTAAACTAATGTTAAGAGGCCTTTGTTGAGCTGCTATTCTTGAATGGAATGTTGTTAAAAGGAAGAAGAACAAGAAAGCAGCCATGTATGGAAATTGGGTGGTGGAAGAGAAGACAACCAGTTCTTTTTGTTCTTGCTTTTTTTCTTTTTATTTTACTGGTTGCATCACACTTGCTTTCTTCATATACGTAAAAGTTACGTAGAAATTTGGCATGAGTTGGCTTCTGAAGCCTTTGCAGCGATTCAGATCTTCTGAGTAAATTTTGCATGTTTCAGTTCACATTCAGTATATTGTTAGGAAGCTTCCCAATTCTGACATCCACACAACCTCTGTGGTGCAGAAATAACATTTGAAAACTCAATTCCATCTTAATCAAAACTAAGAAAATCTTGGTTGACATGAAAACTCTCACTACAGCTGTTCTGACAACCACCGATCTCACGGCGGAAGCAGGAAGCAGGAAATGCATGTGAATGAAATATAAATCCAGACTCATGAGTTACTCAGTAACTTGGATAAAAATAAATCATTTTAATCCTATAATTTTTTTTCGTTCAAAAGTTATAGGGCCAGACCTTGGATTCGAGGAATTATAACCTTACAATATTCAAGGAGTCCTTCAACTCAAGGCATTACAACTCTACTATGTTAGAGGATTCATGAAGAATTTTATGCCTGTGTTAGAAGGGTAAGAGTAGTCCTTTTAGAATAGCCCTTAGACCTGGGGCATTATGTTAGAGGGGTCAATTCATGAAGAATTTTATGGAGTCTCTGGAAATTTATCAAGTCCGTGTTAGAGGGATCAATTTTCTTATTCCACCAGGACAGTGAAGAAATTTCTATTAACTTCCACCAAGTCTAAAAAGATTAAGTTTATACTCGAGATACTGAAAAATTATAATCTATACAGTTAGATCAAGAGTTTTGCATTTAAATTAATAATTAGTTTGGGTACGAAACAAAAAATTGAATGTAAATTAAGGGTACTAATCAATGCCAAACTTCAAGGATTCAATTGGTGGCACCAACTATACAAGTCTAGGATTAATGTATTGAGATTTTAGAGGTATTTTTCTTTTCTTTTTTTTCTTGGTCATAGAGGAAGGGTGAGATTTACGAAATAGGGAGGGCGAAGAGGGGATTAGAACTCAGGTTTTCAAAATTCAAAATTCTGAAACTTCAACTTTTACCTCTGGATCAAAACATATATAAAAACTAAACTATTGATTTTAAATAAAACAATGGTGGGCAACAAAATTTATGAAATCTCTCCCAGAATTTCTTTTTTCCCCCTTTCCGGTGATCCTTGTCCTTGTGGTGCAGCCTGCATCCTTCACTTTTTATAAGAGGACACAAATAACAGATTAACAAAACATGCCTGGGGAGACTTCCACAAGACTTTTGGTGTTTAGACGGTCCTGCCACGGAATACCTTTCGGCTGTGTTGGAAATGTGTTAATGGTTTGACGGAGAGATGAATATGGAAGCCGCAAATCTTGCAAAGACTAGTCCTTACATGTTGCTCTCTATATTATTGGTAGACTATTCCTTTTAAGATTAATAAGGGGAAAAAACAATTTTTTAAAATTATTTCTAGCAAAGGAAAGGTGGGATTTAAAAAGTAACGAAGCAGCGACGGACGCAGGATTTTGGTTTAGAGGGAGGGGGGAGGGGAATGATCAAACAACGAGTAACAAAAAATAATCAAAACAAATGATGCACTCTAATCAAAAATTAAAGTCTTAAAACCAAAGTTTAATAGGTGATAACTAAACACTAAATGTTTTTAATAAGAAGAGACAACATATAAAGCAAGAGATGAAAATTAGGTCATGGACCAAAATCATATAGACATTAACCCTATAAAAATTAACACAAAAATTTTAAGGTAAAAATTTTAGAATAAGAACAATTGACACATTAATAATCATGAAAAATAATCTAAATCACAATTTTAAAATTGTCCAAATAATGAATGGCTATGAATCAAATTATAAAGGAATTGTAAAGGAAAAAAAATTAGACTTGCCTTGAAAAAATGGAGAGTTTTGGGAAGAGTGGATATTTGAAATAAGTTGAACGAATGTGGGAAGAGATCGATGCTTGCTTGTTGGTCTAAGTGTTGGCTTTTGACTAATACATCAAGTCAATCATGCACATATAAATATAATTCTAAATATGATTAAATTTCTTTTTATTTGTCAATTATTTGTTTCCTTACCTTAACTAATGTAAGGGCATACTAAACACACTAAAGTTATAATAATGAAATTATATATATATATATATATATATATATATATATATATATGTATATGGATAACAGTTGTAAGATTTTGTGTTTGTTATTGGGTGTCTTTCGCCTAATTAAACAGTCACTCATTGGTCTCATAGTACATTCTTCCGAATTTTGCCGATAAGTATCTCTATCTATATAAGTTGAATCACTAGGTTAATTATCATGCCAAACAATATTATTATTTTCCAGCGGCTGCATGCACCAAATTAGTTGAGGAGTGAGGACCAAATTTGGACTCTAATACCAATACAGTTAATTGTAGTAAATATTTTCTACTACATCTAAGAACTTGCATCTAATTGTTTAGGAACTATAAGTCATCTGCAATTCAACTATTCTTGGTATAGAAAAAATTAACCTTTTTTTTTTACATAATAGTATGGCAAATAACTTAAGTTTTTACCTAATAACGAGTCTATGTAGGATTAGTAATAAGAGACTACGAATATTTATGGCAACTATTCAAGTACAAAGTAGAAATATAGAAGTGATACACGTAAAAAACTAGTAAAGGAGAATGTGTATTGTAAAGTAGTACTATATATATTATGCCCTTTTTGTTCTTATGATTATGCATCGGCAGTTGCATGTAGCACTTTTTATTTCTAGTATAATGTAGTGATATAGAAGTGCTTATATAAAAATGCTATTATAGGAGTAACTTTTTTTTTCGACATAAAACCATGGCACTTAAAGTTTTACTTAACAACAAGTCCAAGTATAAAGTAGAAATATAGAAGTAAATGATTGACAATCCAACCACAATGTAAATGACAGAATTTAAAGTTTTAAAAGAGACAGTGTGTTGCAAAAAAAAAAGACACCAGAATTATGTGGAACTTAAAAACGATGTAGGACTGGGAGGATCTGGAATATCAACAGTTCCTTCGAGCATCAGAAGAACTTTCTTCATGGATGGACGAAGTGCTGGCTCATCTTGGATGCACCAGAGAGCTATCTTCATCATTCTTTCCAGTTTTCTCATGTCAACAACCTCCTGATCACCAACCAATTTATACAGCTCTCCGGCTTTGAAACACTGGTAAGCCCAATCTTCAAGAACAGCTTGATCCTCAGAAAAGCTCCAGTCTAGACTTTTTCGGCAGCATATGATCTCCAACAGCACAATCCCAAAGCTGTAAACGTCTGCTTTAACTGTCACAGGCATCTTCCTGTACCATTCTGGTGCAACATAACCTTTTGTTCCTCTAAAAGTTGTGTAAGTTCTTGTTTGATCACGCTTTAATAGCTTTGCAAGCCCAAAATCAGAAATCTTGGGACACCTGTTTTCATCCATGAGTATATTCTGAGGTTTAATGTCACAGTGGATGATTTGTGTCTCACACTCTTCATGTAAGTAAAGAACACCTCTTGCAATGTCGCGGGCAATTTTAATTCTTTCGTCCCAACTCGGATGGTTCTCTGGTTTGAGAAGGACGTCTGCCAATGATCCATTGCTCATGTACTCATAAACTAGAAGCCTCTTAGCTCCGTCAAGGCAGTAGCCGAGCAGCCGGACAAGATTGCGGTGATGTGTTTTCCCAATCACTGTGATTTCATTCTGAAACTCCTTTTCGCCTTCTGCTAATACTTTCTCAAGTTTCTTCACAGCCACAACCTTCTCACAATCTGGCAAAATCCCTTTATACACAGCCCCAAATGCTCCTCTGCCCAACTCTTCTCTGAATTCATTTGTTGCTTGCTCCAATTCAGCAAAAGTGAAGGCCCTTGGAGCCACATTCTCAACAAATTCAGCATTTCTGAATTGTGATACCAGCTTATAAGCCCATACCTGATTTCTACGAACATAAACTCCAGCAATTACAGATATCAGAACTGATAGGTTGCAATTTGATAGTTAATTTTATTATTAATTTTTCCTATTACTTAACCCAATGTGAATTAATTATTAGATTCTACTCACTTTTCGTAATTTACATTTATTTCAGGGAGTAGAACAAAAATGTCACAATAAAGGCCAATTTGACAGTTATCGAGAAAGAGTTCACATAGCAGGCAATCGAGGGCATTTCTGGAATAAGGAGATACAAGTCTTTTTTGGTAATTCGCAGATGGCAGCATTAAAAGGAGGAACGCAGGGCTGAAGTGGAGAGCTTCTTATTCCTCCGGAGTCCTCTCCGCAAGGGAGGGCGCCGCACAGAGCCGCCGCACAGCAGGGAGCTGGCTTCCCTCTTAGTTTTTCCATTTTTATAGTTTAGCTTTTCCTTTGACCGTTTGGTCTCCTTCGTCTTGTAGTGGAGAGCTTTTGACTTTTCCTTGGAATCTTTTGTGGCTACCTCCTACGTGAGTCAGGAGCACTGAAGACTAAATCATCCATTGTTACTTTACTTTGCTTTATTCCTTCGAGTGAATTGCATTTCCCAATTTCGGAGTTGATGGCCGCGACTCTTGTTTCAATTTTGTGTGGATTTTGTTCATCAATTATGAACTAATTCCCTCACTCTAGTCAAGGAACAACGAAGGCTCTGGGTCGCCTAAAATTTGTGAGATCGATTTAATTTTATCTTTTTCTTTCATTTATTGGTATCCGCATATTTCTTGGTTGCTATGTTTATGGTTATTTAATTAATTGATTGTCTTGGATCCAGATAATTAGTTGATTGGATAATCTATTGTCAATTAGGGCATTAAATCCGTAATTGTTTAATTGCTCTAAAATAGTGGCAACTGGCATAATTAGACTTGTGTTAGGGGAATACGCGGGCTAATCTAAAATAACCCTGGTAGTGCGTTATTTGATTAGAATAGGGCTCCTCTAATACGTAAGGCAATTGGGGAATTAAATTCTATGGGCGTACCTAGAATTATTTCTCAATTAGAGCAGTGATTAACGGGCGTACCTTAATCATCGACACAGTAAGGAGGGGTTGACTGTCATCGCTTGTTTGGCAGTTATAACCTATTTATTAGTAAATAATTGGAATTGCCTTTGCTTATCGATGATCAATTGGGTGAACCATTGCTGAAGTTATTCCTTGGCTAGATCCTTAATTACCATTCATTTGATTTTAGTAATTTTTTGTTATTTAATTTTTAGTAGTTTCTTAGATTTTATTTGAACTTTTTTGATTGTCACCTTCTGCACAAAAACACCCCCCTTGTCACTGTGAACTTGAAAAGAAATAATTACTCCCAGTCCCTGTGGATTCGACCCTGCTCACCGCTATCTACAGAAATCACTTTTAGTTTGAGCAGGTTTTATTATTGCACAGGCTTCGACAACCTGTCAATTTTTGGCGCCGTTGCCGGGGATCGAACCCGGGTCACCCGCGTGACAGGCGGGAATACTGGATTTAATTTAATCTCGTTTTCATTTTTAATTTATTTTTTTTTCTTATTTTTTTTATGGCTTCTAACACTTCGTATTTTGGTGAAATACTGGATTTTCTTTCCGGGAAATGCGATATGACTAGTTTTATTGCTGAGTCTGCATATGCAGAGGCAGTAAACTCTATTAGAAAAAGAATGGCTGCTGCAACCTGTAAAATTTGTTATGCCAGGGATCATTCAACAGGTATGTGCCCCGAATATCAAGATAATCAGAGTGTCCCATTCAATAATTACGGAGATTTTTCACCCTGGTCTCAAACGTGGTATGACCATAATCCATACGGGTATGATCAAGGATGGTGGGAAAACTCCAATTATAATTATTCAACGGGGCCAATGAATTTTCAGCAGTATGAGTCTCAAGAATCGTCATCTATGTCAGGTATGTATCCTGAAGAAATAGTTGAACCAATAGCTACTAATACATACCAATTCCAACAGGAGACACAAATGGAGGATGAGATGATGAAGGATGCAATGAATTATCTGGCAGATCAACTATGTCTATTGACATCCAGAGTGAATCGATTGGCTTCTCAAAGGGAAGAATTGCCCTCGGAAACCATTGTTGATCTAGAAGAAGATGAGAGTGCAATTGTCCGGCCAAATGACATGGAACTGCAAGAGTTTCAAGAAAACGGATTTAAAGATGCAGTTGAAAAGGAAGCTGAAGTGCAAGAAATGAGACTCCAGGATCAACTCATTCAAGTGAACGATTCCAGTGAACAATCTCCAAATGCGGTGACATCTTCTCCACTCCTTAATCAATATTTTCCTGACTCCTATTCTTCAACTCCTGTTACTGAAATTGATTTTATTATACCAGAAAATTTAAAATTTCATGACAGGAATAAGTTAAGAGTGGAGATGGCAAAATATCTTGAACCAATGAATGCGTGTGATGGAGGAGTGAGTGGAGAATGCAGATCATTGTTGACTTGTTTAGCGCCATTTATTAGTCCATGGAAGCCCGTAACTCGTGTGCCCAAGAATTACTCCATCTACGAGGGTTATCAGGACTATATAGAGGATGAAGCATTAAGACGAGCTACAAGATTTTATCCGCCATGAGCAAAACATGATAATGTCTAGCCAAAGACATTAAAGAAAGGCGCTCATTGGGAGGCAACCCAATTGTTTCTTTTAATTGCTTGATTGGTTTCGTGTCATAGTTTAAATCTGCTTTCCTTGAATTTGACTGATTTTGGGTGTTAATTTTCGTTTTTGCTGATTTATAGGTGCCCTTCAGTCATGACGCGCCCGCGTGGTGACGTGCATGAAGCTCACGATCAGAAACTTCTGGGAGCTCTCTTGCCCTCTTGACGTGCCCGCGTCACGTTCGCGGGAAAGGTAAGGATTCAAAAAAAAAAAAAAAAAAAAAAAAAAAAAAAAAAAAGAACAAAGAACAAAGAAAATTTTTCTTATCAACGTAGCTTTAGTTTCCAAAATTCAAAAAAAAATTTGATTTCCGTAGAAAAAAAATTTTTCTTTTCCTTCTTTTCTTTCTTTCTTTCTTTTTTTTTTCTTTCTTTCTTCTTCTTCTTTCTTCTTTCTTCTTTCTTCCTCCCTTGCTCCCTCTCTGTTGCCCGCCGCCCACTTGCGCCGCAACCCCCATCACGCAGCAGCCTACCGCCGCAGCTCTCCCATCTCTCTTCTCTCTGGTCCACCGCCGCCACTCAGCGGACCTCCACCAGCCCCCATCGCCGCCCGCCAGACAGTGCCGTCCACCACATCGCCTCCACTGTCCGCAACCAGCCGCCGCCCGCGACCCCAGCGCTCCACCAGAGCGCGGCTCTCCGTCGCCAGTCGCGGCCCACCTTGCGCGCTCCACCGCCATCTTCACCTCCATAGCGCGCCGCTCGCTCCTGCTCCACCGTTGACCGCCGCTGTTTTCATCGACACCGCCGCAACCCCTCACGCGATTCCGGCACAACTGACACCCACTACTGTCCCATTTCGTCTGGCTACTACCTACGGTGGAGGTAATTGGAAGTTGCCCCCCCTAATTTCTTCATTTCGTTCGGTTGGCCACCTGGTTAACTGCTGAGGTTTTGTGATTGGGTTGTAATTGTTTAATTTCTGAAATGCTGTCACTGGTATGCCATATTATTGGGGCCCTTGTTACGATTTGACTACATTGGGTGGGCTGGTGTTGTGAAATTTTCTTTTGCTAATTAGGACGGCAGCTCTGCCTGTGTTTTGATTGTTGAAATTCTCAATTGTTGGCATTGATAGTTGTTATTTTGGTTTATCGGTGGCCGGCTAGTGGTAGTGTGTGATTTCTTTTCCACAGTTTACTACACCAGTGGTACTGGTGAGGTAATTGGACCTCAATTGCATACTTCTATTTAGTTGACCAAGTGATCATTGTCCAATCCCTGAGCTGTTATCATTGAAATTAATAATTTTGAGTTGCGACTTTTATTGGCCAACTGGAGCCATTTGTTGGGATTTTGGGTGAGCTGAAATACTGCAACTGTCTAGTGACATTTGGGCGATTTGATTCTGCTTTTGCATGTTGAATTGGAATATCTGGCCGCTTGTTTTACTTGTGAGATTGGTAGCATTTATTAATTATGGAAGACATCCTGGTGATTGGTTAATATTGCTATTTTGGGACCATTGTTTGTGACCTCAGTGGCCGGGGTTCCCAACTGGTGGATTAGTACATACTTGGGGCTATTGCTTTACTACTGCTTTGATCTGCTATAGCATTTGTTGAAATTTCTGGAGATATTTGTTGAAATTTTAGAATGCATTTGTTGAGAGTATGGATGGCCCGAGTTTGCTTGTTGACTGACTGATTTGGGTAGCCCCTGTGCTTATTGACGTGACCTTGCTAGTTTCTAGTTGTTGATAATAATTGCTGGTTGTTAGTTTTGGAGTGCAACTGTTGCTTTGTTGACCATATTTGGGCTTGGGTGGCCCGTGTTTGCTTTTAATTGTTGAGTTGGGGAACACCGGTGACTATGAATGTGCGTTGGTGATTGCTATCTTTGTTGGATATTCTGTCTTTTGTTGCTTGGGGTGATAATTGGCGTCAATGGTGAGTGGCGCCACTTACAAGCACAGGTTCACAACGTAGATGAACGAATGACGAACATCACCCGCCAAGTGGCAAGGATGTCTCAGAGCTCGGCTTCCTTCCACTGTTCCCTCCTATCCTTTGGCCACTCGTGAGGGAAGTTTCGTTGCCCTCTTCGCTTTAATTGCTTTAATCCCTCCATTGAGGACAATGTAGGATCTAGGTGTGGGGGGGACAGCTATACTAGTTCTTTATTTTTAGTTTGTTATTTGTCCACCTCTCGTTCATTTTTTTTTTCTTTTTAGTGATTGGCTCGTAAGTGCATGCCAAGGTTTGATGTTGGATTATTGTCTCTGTTTCTACTATTGCCAATTTTAATAATAAAAGGGTATCAAGTTAATGTGGTTGAATTCAAGAACATCTCTTTGGTGAATATCAATAATTGTTTTACTCTTATAATTTTTGGTTAACTTTCTTAGGCATAGGGAATGATTGTTGGCATTTTTAGTGAATTGGTCCGGTTATTAACTTTAGTTCTCCATGTTTGAAAATGAGGCTAGCTGATGCAAGTTTTCTTTTGGTTCTTGTGTTATATTGACTTTTTGTGATTTTTAGCTATGCATAAACTTGACTGTACTCCGCTATTAGTTACTACTGAGTAACCGGGGATCTGCACCTAAAAGTGTCGATTCTCGCGTCAAAAAGTAGTAATTGCTATGAGTACGTGGTCACGCGGCGATAGAAGCTGAGTAACCGGGCTCCTTCATCTGGCCAATGTTGGAGTTCGCGTCAAAAGGCTCAAATGGCTAGCGACTAAGTCTTTTGTTACTATTGAAAAACAAAAAAAAACAAAAAAAAAAAGTAGAAAAAACAAGTGAAGGTTGTGTTAGTGTGTAATAAACGTCAGCTTGCCGAATTATGGATTTAATGTTGAAGATTTTGGTTAATAGTTGGACCATTTACTGATAAATGTTATGCGTCATTCCTTTTTCTTAGATTAGTTAACCTAAAATTAGAGGAGTTTGTGGTTTAGAAGCTAACCGGAGTGATGTTTCTTGGACTTGACCATTGATTCTTGATTATTATTTTTCTTGGTACCTTGGCAATTTGTTGGATAGAGCAATGACCATTATCAAATATTGGTGCTTGTTTACTTTTCTTATGCTTGAGGACAAGCATGGTTTAGGTGTGGGGGAAATTGATAGGTTGCAATTTGATAGTTAATTTTATTATTAATTTTTCCTATTACTTAACCCAATGTGAATTAATTATTAGATTCTACTCACTTTTCGTAATTTACATTTATTTCAGGGAGTAGAACAAAAATGTCACAATAAAGGCCAATTTGACAGTTATCGAGAAAGAGTTCACATAGCAGGCAATCGAGGGCATTTCTGGAATAAGGAGATACAAGTCTTTTTTGGTAATTCGCAGATGGCAGCATTAAAAGGAGGAACGCAGGGCTGAAGTGGAGAGCTTCTTATTCCTCCGGAGTCCTCTCCGCAAGGAAGGGCGCCGCACAGAGCCGCCGCACAGCAGGGAGCTGGCTTCCCTCTTAGTTTTTCCATTTTTATAGTTTAGCTTTTCCTTTGACCGTTTGGTCTCCTTCGTCTTGTAGTGGAGAGCTTTTGACTTTTCCTTGGAATCTTTTGTGGCTACCTCCTACGTGAGTCAGGAGCACTGAAGACTAAATCATCCATTGTTACTTTACTTTGCTTTATTCCTTCGAGTGAATTGCATTTCCCAATTTCGGAGTTGATGGCCGCGACTCTTGTTTCAATTTTGTGTGGATTTTGTTCATCAATTATGAACTAATTCCCTCACTCTAGTCAAGGAACAACGAAGGCTCTGGGTCGCCTAAAATTTGTGAGATCGATTTAATTTTATCTTTTTCTTTCATTTATTGGTATCCGCATATTTCTTGGTTGCTATGTTTATGGTTATTTAATTAATTGATTGTCTTGGATCCAGATAATTAGTTGATTGGATAATCTATTGTCAATTAGGGCATTAAATCCGTAATTGTTTAATTGGAAAAAAAAAAACAATTCTAGCAAAGAACGGGTGGGATTTAAGAAATGGGGAAGGGGTAGGGTTCAGAACCCAAAATCTAATTATTATAATTTGAAACACCAATTTCATTTAATACTTAATTCATTTCTCTAAACCAAAAAAAATGAAGAGAATTAGTATCATTTATCTATAAAATGGAGACAAGTTTCCAGCCACGGCAAATCTTTCGGCTGTGTTGGAAATCTGTTAATAGTTTGTCTGAGGGATGAATATGGAAGCCGCAAAGCTTACAAAGACTACGTGCGCGTGCTTTTGCTCCTTACATGTTGCTCTCTATATTATTAGTAAACTATTTCTTTTAAGATTAATAAACTTGACTCGAACTCGGTTGACCGAGTTCAAGCGCCTCAATAAGCTAAACGAGTCGAGTTCAAGCATCCAGAAACATTGCTCGAAGGCTCGTCGAGCCTTATCGAGTTTTTTAATTTTAATTATTTAATATATTATTATTATAAAATTACTCTTATATCCAAAATAATTATTGAATTTACAAAATGTTTCAAGTCATAAAAAAATTTAAAAGGCAATAATGTCTTTTTGCTCAAAAATTGTCAAGAAAATAAAAATTTCTAACTCGAGCTCGATAGACTCGTATTGACTCGAGTTCATGCAAGTCGAGCTCGAGTTCTGTGAGCAAGCATCGAGCTCGAGCTCCAATAATACTACTCTCTCGAGCTCGAACACCCTTCTTGCATGTGTCAAACTCGAGTTCAACTCGACTCGATTACATCCTAAATCAAACCAATCAATTATGGTCAAATGTGATCAAACCAGTTAAATGGGTCAAGACTTATTTGATTATAAGTCCATATCCATAATTTGATCAAAATTTATCATTTAAGCCCAAATTTTTTTTGAAATTCATAAATGTTTTATAAGATTATATATTTAGTGGGCCAACATTTTGAACTTTATAAAATATAAATATCTTATTTAACTTTATTTGAGTTCACTCAAAGTAGAGAAACTCTAATTTTCTTAATACAAATATATGCATATTTATTCTTAAACAAGAAAACAAGTCAAAGAATAGTAACCTAAGTCCAAATACAAGAGAATTAAATAAACATAAAAAGATTGCCTTCTAATTCAGTTCTTGCATGATATTCAACATGAAGACGCAACCAAACTATTGGAAAACACTGAGCCAAAACAAGAAAATTTTCCATCCAAGTTGTTTGCACGTCAAACAACTACTGGACTGCATCGTACTTTGTATCCATAATTTTTCTATTAAATAATCTCATGGACAGAACATTGAAACCCATGATGTTTTCTTGTCAATTTTAATCCTTAAGAATAGGAAAACCAAAAGAAACCCCATGCTTGCCAACTAAAGTTTGACCAAAATAAGACCCACTGAATTCTATTAGAAATGTAGTATAAACCGAGAAGATGGTTTGAGAGTGTGGTCATCCTCCATGTGAGTTTCACATGTGAATTGTGTTGCTGTTTTGTTTCCCTTTTTTTCCACCCAACCTCCACATTTTTTCCCCTGCCTTGGGGCTAATGAGGGATGATTACTCTTTACACTTTTATCAAAAACGAGCATGTAAACAGCGGAGTGCTTATCATGAAAAGCATATACTTGGAAGGGCAATTGCTGATCTCTGGTCTGACTTCCACCTACAGAGAGGCAACTGCATTGTTATTAAAAACGTATATAATGTGCGTGGTTTAGCTACATGCCATATTTGGCCGGCAATTCTTTGGTATTTCTTTTTTCGATAGGATAATTAGAATTAAATTCT